AAATCGCTTGGAGTCTGTGTTTAAAAAATAAACCAAAACAATATGAAAACATCGAAAACACACCGAAACACGTCCGACACACAGAGACTGTCACGGCAAATATATTAGCTATATATGTTTTCAATTTTCTTATATTCATGCTTTTGCGCGTGGGATGAGATCTCAGTATTGAAAATGTGGGTCGCGCTGTCAGAAACTGTTTGGAAATCATTTTTGATGATTACATTTTTGATGGTTTTGTATTTCTGTGGAGCTCTCTAGGCTCACAAAGAAGACGCTCTTAATCCCATCAGGTTTCGAGCGTGAGTGGTTTAGAGAGCCCCCTCTGTTCTCAACCCCCCAACCCTCTTCGGGGAAGGGTTTACCCCACCCCCTACCCCTTCCCCCTGGGCCTGGACAAGAAGTCCCGCGGGTGGTCAGGAAGCTTTTTTCGACGCCTGAGAAGGTGAATTAAAAACGCCAACCCTCACGAGGATTCTGAGCGCGACGGGAGGGCGCTCTTGTAGCCCCCTCTTCTTCTGTGAAGCCAAATTCCTTGCTTTTACGATGGTTTTGGCTTCATTTTTGCCTCCGGAAGGGGGCACGAAGAGCCCGAACGACTCATACCAAGTCGAAGCGCGCGACCGACTCACACCACGAGGAGCCCGAACGACTCACACCACGACGCGGGCCTCGAACGACTCACACCACGAGGAGCCCGAACGAATCACACCAGGAGGAGGGGCCCGAACTATTCACACCAGGACGAGGGGCCCGAACAACTCACACCACGAGAAGCCCGAACGACTCACACGAGGACAAAGAGCCCGAACGACTCACACCACGAAGAGCCCGAACGACTCACACCAGGAAGAAGGGCCCGAACGACTCACATCAGGACGAGAAACCCCAAACGACTCAAACCACGAGGAGCGCTTTCTCTCCCTCCTCCTTCGCCTCGTCCTTCTCCCGCTCCCCCCACAAGGAGGATGTACAAGGAGGCGGGAGGGAGGAACAAGCGAGATATGCGGGGCCAAGCGGACACACGCCTGAAAAACACGACTGTCGGCATGCTTCGCGAAAGTTGCTGCTGTGAGATGGGCTGGTGGGGATACGCGAAGCGTAAAGAATGTATCATCCTCTCGGGGGCTCAAAATTTGCATATTTGAGTTTTTGTTTGACACCTCTTGAGGTTGACTTGGGTCTTCTTCGGGCTTTTTGGGGCCATCTCTGGGGCCTCGCGATGGCTCCAAGATAGCCGAGCATGGCTCAAGGTAACCTCCGACAACCTCTACCCGACCTCTAGCCGAGCATGGCCCAAGATAGCCCCCAAAAGGCTTGAAGAAAACGTGCAATCAATTAGTGAATCCAATATTCAAAAAGATCAGGCCTCCAATCCCTGTGATCCGCTGCGCCTTGCGATACATGTCTAAGCCAAGAGGATCATAAATAACCACGACATGGACTGGGCAATTCACCGCATACATGCAATTTCAGGAAAAGAGACTCGGGGGAAAATTAATAAAAAAAACTGAATAAAACATATGATAAACAAAACGTGGACACAATGCGCGCAAATATCCGCCGGCCCCTTCTGGGCCACCATGCTGAAATTAACACCTCTCACGCAGATGGTGGGGTTAATCCACAAACACATGGGTTTTGCCACTTTTTAAGAAAAATTAACAGCCCTCACGCAGATCGGCGAGGTCAAAGTCCAAAAACACAAAAGATTTGTTTGCCTCATTTCTGATATTCGGTGGCACCTCCCACGCAAATCGGCAGAACCACGGGCAAAAACCCCACAAAAGGATTTACCATATTTCTAAAATTTGTTGGCAGCCTCACGCAGATCGGCGGGGTCACGGCTCAAAAACATAGGGGATTTGCATTTACTACATCTCTGAAATTCGAGGGCACCCCTCACGCAGATCCGTAAAGTCAAACACAAAAAATTGCCACATTTCTGAAATTCGGTGGCACATCCGTAGGGTCAAGGACCAACAACAAACAACAACAAACAAACCCCGACACTGCTTCAAAGCAGCACCCAAACCTCCTGATTTAGCTTTTGTATCTCCCATTCTCCGAGACAAAGGGCCGGCTGCATGGGGCGAAGCCCTTACGGGTTATTCTCGGACGTGGAACCACTAAAAAACAATATTACGCGACACGCAACAGGCAGCACGTACGCTCACCGCGGTCTTGCCCGCGACACGCAACAGGCAGCACGTACGCTCACCGCGGTCTTGCCCGACGCATGAACGTGGCTAATGCACGGCGGCCGCCCACGAAACATTCAAGCAATGCGGGGGGAGGACCTCCCATTGCGCATCCGGTCAAAAGCAAAGAAAAACACAACCAAACGCCTGTGGGCCATTTCACAACATCGCCGTGTAATGCCACAAAAGGAGGTCGATTTGGACATCGCCGTGGAGAACCACGGTATTCCGCGCGGGCATCGATTCGGGCACTGGCCCGGCAACGGCGCGGGAATGATATCCTGTTGGTAATCCCGTGCATGATCCGGCAGCCGTTGGCAAGGGCAATACATCTGAAGAACATCACATACACTTTGTTGTCAAGAAGAGCGCCCATTTCGGGATCTTCAAATTTTCAGTTCAGGCCGGCGAGCCAGCAGATTCTGTTGTCGTGGATTGCAAACGACGCCAATTTGCTGATGGAGCCTGTGCAATTTCATATGGCATTTCGTGCAACAAAGAAGCTTTGCACAAATCCCACCAGCCCTCTGGGCGTCGGTGGTTTAGAGCGTTTCCTCTTCCACCCCTCCCTCTTCCCCTTCGGGGAGGGGTTTCCCTCTCCCCCTACCCCCTCCCCACTGACCTGGACAGGAGGGGCGGGGAGCGGTCAGAGCGTCCAAAACGGCCTCGGCGAGGAAGCCAAAATCATTGATTTTACTATGGTTTTGGCCCCATTTTGGCCTTCTGAGGGGGCAGGGCTAATTAAAGCTCCCCTCTTCTTTGAAGCCAAACTCATTGATTTTACTAAGGTTTTGGCCCCATTTTGGCCTTCTGAGGGGGCAGCGCTAATTAAAGCTCCCCTCTTCTTTGAAGCCACAACCATTGATTTTACTAAGGTTTTGCCCCCATTTTGGCCTTCTGAGGGGGCAGCGCTAATTGAAGCTCCCCTCTTCTTTGATCGATTTCCTCCAAGATGGCCCCAAGAAGCGCCCAGGAGGCACCAAGAGGCCCCAAGATGGCCCCAAGATGGCCCCAAGAGGCCCCCAGGAGGCCCCCAAGAGGATCCCAAACGGCCCAAAGAGGCCCCCCCGAGGCACCCAAGACGCCGAAAAGCCCCTCAGGACGACCCTCTACTCGCCTGGGCGTCGTTTCTGGACGGGCTGGTGGGGATACGCGAAGCGTCTAGAATTTGCACTAAAGGCGAATAGTTAAACACGCTGAATTTGCTTCTGCGTCTCAAGAGCGATTGAAACGATCAACGGTGACATCACATGGCATTGTTTTGCAAACCGTCTTTCTCTTCCGTTGGGTCAGCCGCTTGATGTCTCTAGCAAAAGCCGTCGGATGCCTGTTGCGGGAGTCGCTGCCCAATCCCGATGCAACCTGTTGCATTTTGCACGAACCACTGCTGGAACTATCGGGAAACACCCTCCACGATGCCGCGAGGCACGAAGCGGAAGGTCCTCAGGTTTTCGAACCCTCTGAGTCTTTCTGAGAGGCCCACAGCCTCGAGTTTTGGGCGCTCCTGGGCTGGGCGCTCTTGGGCCTTGTCGCCCAACTTTTCCTGCGGCCAGTGAAGACGGGCCGAGAGAGCGCCGGAAGGCACCAAATTCAGGATGCTTCGCGATGCGCAGAAATTGCCTCAAAACGGCCCGAGAGGCCCCCAAGACGCCTCGCGAGGGGTCCGAAGGTTCCAACAGGCGCGAAGTATTTTCCTATAGCTTTTGAAGGATGTGAGCGTTATTTTTTCAGGCTTCCCATGCTCCAAAAAGACGTAACAACTCCGCCGCTCCAAGAAAACCCAACAACGATCACATATCCACTACCATGTGACCCCCAAGAGCGCCCAAGAGGGCCTCAAGCTGCCCGAGGGGGCCCCAAACGGATTTCGCACCCCTTTCCCAGTCCCCCCTTTCATCCGACCCGAGTAGTGCGGGCTAACACGGCTCAGAGGGGAAGGGGGAACATAGATCTGGAATCGACGATACGTTCCCAGCTCCCTGGTTGGGCGGGCTGTCGGGCCCCTCTCGGCGATCACCGACTGGGGGTCGATACCGCCCCCGCTGAGCCCATCCCCCGCCACACGCTGCCCCTGAACCCCCCTTTCCCCGTCCTCTCTCTCCGTCCGACCCAAGTGGGGGGTCAACACCCACCTCCCCAGCACGGTGATGAGCATCGAGCAGGGATCGACCGTCCCGGCATTCCTATAGGCCCGCCACGGAAGTCTCTTAGATCCCAAACATGTTCTGGAACAACAACGCAGTTCTTAGAACGTGAGCCCGACGCGTTCGAACAGGACAGGTCGCAGCCAGACGTGATCTAAGAACATCTCGTGCACACCGCAAGGGGATATTGGACCATACTTTGGCGGGCCTACAGTGCGGACGCGGCCGCAAGAAACACTCGCAAGGAACCCAGCCCTGAAAACCCGCGCGCGAGATGCACACGGGGGGGAACCCAGAGCATCCTGAACGCAGCAGCTTCTTCAAAGGCCGCGGGAAGTCATCGCGCAGAGCGCGCGGAGCGAAGAGAAACCCAGGGGTACCCCTACGAACAGCTGATCTCGTGATGCGCGTCCCCACTGCATGGCCGAGCCAGGGCGCTGCGCCACTGCTTGACAGCACGTGGCGGTCCCCCTGGAATGAGGGATGAAAGAAACGACCCTACCCTGGGTTACAAGTGCGTGGTCTGTAAACCTCCTGGGAACCCCCAAAGCCTAGAGCCGCAGGGTTTACCCTGTCAGCCCACAGGAGTCTCAGCGCACAGTGCCTCGTAAACCAGGGTAGGGTTTTTGATTATGCCCTTGATGGGAGGCTTTCGAGCACGTCACCTCGGGCCTCCGGCGGCCGGTCGGGACGATGCAGGCCGGGCGCGCTCTCGACGAGAGGCAGCCGCTGGAGGGCAGCCCGAGGCTGGCAGGCCGCAGGGAAGGCAGCGACAGCGCCCGAGAACTTCAAGCCTTGAGAACCTCGAGAACCTCGGAACTTCGAGCCTCGACTCGAAGGGGTGTCCACACACGCCTCCCCTGCACCGTGATGAGCACGCAGAAGGCGACGTTCACCGAGGCGGGCGGCGGGCGCGCGTCCCCTTCGAAGCCGGGCGCCCCCCCCCCCCTCGGCGGGCGTGGCCGCGCTCGGACACCTCAGGGCGCCGTCGGCTTCCTCAGCACGAGGCGGAGGTACGACAGGCCTCGCGGGGTGATGGAGTGATGCGAGGAGAGAGGAGGCCGGATGAGGAGGGAGAGGAATCTATAGCCATCTCGGCTCAGATCATTTTGGCTCAACCCGTGTCCGTGTCGAGCCCGATGCTGCTGGGCCGCCTCCGCGTGGCTCGGCTCGCCGTGGGCCTCCGATGGCGGCGGCGACGGACCGCCGTGTGGCGCTGGCAGGCCCGCGGGGCCGCGCTGGCTGTCCAGGGGGCCGCGGGCTTGGCACGCGGTGCGGCGGCCGCCCGGCTGCTGCACCTCGCGGAGGGCTCCTGCACAGCCGCGCAAGGGCGGCGATGCCCGACGCCGAGCCTGGGGCGGCCCGCCCCGCGGCCGATGGTGGTGGTGCCGGCGGAGGTGACGCGGCGCAGCCCGCTGTTCCCTCGGCGAAGGCACTGCGGCGGCGGCGGCGTCGCCGCCAGCGCCTTCGCGCTGGCTGCTGCTGGGGCCCGAGCCCAGGAAAGCGGATCTGGAGCACGACTCCTGGGCTGACGCCCTGCCGCCGCGCGTCGCGGAGGCGGCCGCGGCGGCCCGCTGGTGCGGAGCCCGCTGTTGCCGACGGTGCTCCTCCTGCTGTGGCGGACGGCGCGCTGATCGACGTGGTCGTCGAGGCTGGCGCGTGTTCGCGCGGCTTCGCCGAGCGGATGGCCGCGGAGTCGCTCGGCAAGGAAGAGCTGGCTAGACTCGTGGCGGAATCTCGGGAAGCGACTGCGGGGACGAAGAGCAAGTGTAACAGTAGGGGCAGCCGCCCCTCCGATGCCCGCGGTGCTCTTCGACCTGCTTGCTGTGCTTCCTCGTGTGAACTTGCCTGAGCTTTTTAGTTGCCTGGGAGGGGAGGGAGAGGAAGAGGGATGGATTGGGATGAGGAGGGAAGGAAACGAACATGAGGAGGAGAGAGGAGGGTGAACCAGGAGGAGAGACTGGGAGAGAAGAAGTATGTGACGAGAACTAATTCATTTCTTTACTCTCTCCCAACCCTCCTGTGAGTTGGGTCCTCGTTTTGAATCCGCAGCGCCGCGCGTCTCCATCCTTCCTCATCCTTCTCCTCCTGGAATGCGTATTTTACTGATCCTGGGGCGACCCCCCAATTTGGCCCTGGGACCGGCTCCTCGTCGCGGATCGTTTTCTGATGGCCCCGTGGCCAGATCCTGGCCCATGACAGCCGAAAGCACGAGAGAACCTCCGGGCTGCGGCGGCGGCGGCGACGTCCCCAGACCGCCGACCCGTCGCTCAGAGGTGTTGACAGGGCAGCGTGCGCAAGGAAGCGCGTTTTTCTCTCTTTCTCTCTCTCTCTCTCTTTCTCTCTTTTGCGCCTTCTGTGCCCGCGGGGGACGTCTAGAAGCCAGTCAGGGCCCCGTCGATGGGGCACCACTGCTGGACTTTCGCGAGGCCAAGGGTTCAATGGATGACCCGCGCTGCGGTCTCGATCTCGAAGTCGATGCAACTTGCGCAGCTGAAACATCAGAGACATGCTCCGCAAGGTCCAGCCCCCTACGAAACAAACCCGTGACCACGGCGCGCGCGACGTCCGTGGCCCCAGTGGGCGCTGCAAGGTGCGGCGCTCCATGGAGGGCCCTGTCCGCGTTGGACGACAAGAAATAGCTGCGCCAATACTGCGCGGATCGCCGCTCCGAGCCACCCCCGGTTTACTGACGCAGTCGTCCCGCGCGGACGCGCGAGCAATTGGAGACCTTCCCCACGGGCCGCGGCGAGTCCCATCTCGCGGCTGCGAGTTGCAGAGGAGGATTAGCGAGCGGCAATCTTTTGAACGCGCTGGCAAAACCCTGGCGCTGGCAAAACCCTGCTTGCGCAGCGCGGCTCCGCCGGCGCCCTCTGCCAGCACTTTGCGAGGAAGGGCTGCGAGTCTGTCCGCGGCGTCACTCTGCATAGTTTCGTCCACTGCCGCTGCAGAGCTCAACGCCTGAATCAGGGGGGGCATCACTGCAGCGCGCCTCGCGGACCCCCAGGTCGACCCTCCAGCCTCCGTCAGCCGGAAGCCGCGGGGGGCCGCGCGTGCGTGTGCAAGTGGGCGCCGCTGAGCGTGGTCATCCTCGACTTCTTTTTCGCGCTTCGCCAAGACAATTGCCCGAGTCGAGGCACCGAGCGAAAGCGGCCAGCTTGCGCGACCGACGGTGCCAGAATTGAGCGCGGGCGCTGCAAGCCGCAGATTTGTCGCGGCTTCAGCGGACTCCTGGAAAAAGGGGTGGCTGGCAACACTCCGCTCCGCGGAATCTCGCCGACCAGCGGGAATCCGCGTTCCAAGTCGCGCGCGAGGCGCTCGTCTGGCCAAGATGCAGCCAGCGGCATTTCGCTATGCTCAAGCGAATTTTCTTCGGCGCCAAAACAGCCTGCACGTGCGCTGGCAGCGCTGCCAGCCTGCGCGCCTACATCGGGTCCAGCGCGCGCGGTTGGTGACGCGGTGCCACTTCGACCCTCCTCGAGCAGGGGGGGGGGGCTCAGTGGAATCGCTGGGGCGCTGAGAACCTCCGCCTTGCCGCGCAGCGCCTTGCTGTCTGGGCAGTCCCCGGGTTGCTGTCGCAGTAGCTCCAAGGGGTCCGTCTCCTCCAGTTCGTTTTCCCGCTGGTTTCAAAGGCTCCAAGCCTGCTTCTGTTTCGCGTTCTGCTTCGCTTTTTCGTTGGGAACTGGGAGCTCTGGCCCTTTGCCTCCCTTGCCTTAGAATTCGGGTGGTGCGCTTGCCCAATGACCCACGGGTTCGCGAGCCTCCGTGCCCTTGGGCTGGAGGGCGTCATGCCGCCAGTAGCACGTCGTGTTCGCCTTGAAGCTCCACCTGTGCCTTCGCGAATGGCGCCGTGCATGCCGCCCGAAGGGCTGGCCCGCCTTCGCCATGAAATCTTGCTACTGCCAGAGCTCGCCGAATTCGGCCGAGGGAGGGCGGCCCCCCCTCGGCTCCAGCCTCGGGCGGGCCAGGCAAGGAACGAACTGCTGCCGCGGACCAGCGGCATCCACTTTGTCCACGGCGGGGCCCACGGCTTTGACCGCGGAGGAGGAGGCGGCACCTCCTCGCCCGAGGCGACCGTGGTGTTCCCCAACAAGGTAGAGCGCACTACAGCCCCCACCCACTACTCGATGTCCTCTCTCCCCGCCTCCACATGTACAGCCGATGCAGCAGCCAAGAGCATTCCCTATTCGGATGGGGGAGGTCCTCCAGTGGGGGGATGAGGAGGGTGCTCATGGATGGCATGCTGGCATGAACTGCGTCGCCACAGAATTTGTCCTCTTTTGCCCGCTGCGCCGCTTTCCGACTTTAACTCGTGCGCTGATATGCCGATAAAGCCAGTACTGTGGCGCCAATATCACGTGCCTCGGCGTCTAACCCATATTGAGCCCAGCCACGCATAGTCCCGATGACATCCCATTCGCGCGCAGACTGTTCAAGGGTATGGGTTTGGGAGTGTTGCAGCGGGGAAAGATTTAGGAAACTGGACGGGCATCCGATGATCATGTTTGGCTTTCGGCATGGGGACATCTGCCGGAGTGAGGGCCACCGAATATCAGTTACACCACCCCAGCCTCCACTCCGCATCGCCTCCACCACCCTTCTCACCTAAGTCCTGACTTCGCTACATCTGCTGGCCGGCATACAAGCGGTAATACTAATGCAAGCACGTCTCCCGCATGACAATTGCGTCAGTGTTCGGCGCTGGACAGGCCAGCCTGTACAAACTGCGCCAGCCTTGCCTCGCTTACGCTGCATAGCGCCCAGCGCGCCTCTGTTACCCGAAGTTTTCTTGGAAGAAGGGAGGGCTCTTGGATGGGAAGGGTGACGCTACCACTCGAAACAACTTCTGTATGAATTCACAGACCAAATTCAGCCACGGCTTGCCTCCATCATATCACCTGGCCACCTTCAAATGCCGCCGCAATCAGTAGAAATCTCCTACACTTTCGGTGTCCTCCGTATGATTACACGGTTGATATGGAAGTATGGTGCTACCTCCCTTTCTTCACAGGCTGTTCACACACGGACACCTCGCTATTTACCAATGCTCTTCGCGACACGTTAATTCGTGCACCGGTTTGCAGCTTCAACCTGTTGCCGATCGCGCCTAAATCGGAGTTTAGTCCATGCTTGCTCGCTCATCACTGCAATGCTGCAGTCCATGCTGATTGAAATCCGTCCAACTCAAAGAACGAGCAAGAGAAGGATGATGATGATGACGCTGATGATGATGATGAGGAGGAGGAGGCGGAGGAGGAGGAGGAGGAGGAGAAGGAGGAGCTGGAGGAGGAAAAGGAGGATCAGGAGGAGGAGGAGGATCAGGTGGAGAAGCAGGAGGAGCAGGAGCAGGAGCAGGAACAGGAGGAGGTGGAAGAGGAGGAGGAAGAGGCGGAGGATGAAGAGGAAGAGGAAGAGGAAGAGGAAGAGGAAGAGGAAGAGGAGGAGGAGGAGGAGGAGGAGGAGGAGGAGGAGGAGGAGGAGGAGGAGGAGGAGGGGAGGAGGAGGAGGAGGAGGAGGAGGAGGAGGAGGAGGAGTCGAGCGTGCCGAAGAGGAGGAGGAGGAGGAGGAGGAGGAGGAGGAGGAGGAGGAGGAGGAGGAGGAGGAGGAGGAGGAGGCATAGGAAGAGTATGCGAGAGGGAGACGGGGGGGAGAGGGAACGACCCCCAGACGACCTACAGCGACTGCACTGGCGCCGGAGGCCTGCGGGCGGGCGGCGGCGGCGGCGGCCCCCGCAGCGCCCCGGGGGCGAGGCGACCCGACGGCATGCGGCAGAGGCCCACGGCGTGCACCGCTCGGCTGATGTCGACCGTCGCGTCGGCCACCAGCCCGAACTCCTCTCCGGCTCTCGGCGGCGAGCGAGGGCAGCTCCAGGCTTAGGTCGGGCATGCCCCCCGACATGTGGATTTTGGACGAACAATTTAGAATAGTCCCAAACATGTACGCAACACATATTCAAGAATGGTGACGAAGAAATGGTCCCCAGACTACCTGTGGACTGATTTTGAATATCCCTCATGTAGAGGGACACGCCCGACTTAACTGCAGGCGTAATGAACACATGCGTACAGGGCAGTTTTCAATACATAGTATAAAAAAGCATAGGATTTTCAATACATGGTTAATTTATGAATAATCTTATGCATGAGCTCATCCTTGTTTGTGATACTAAGCCCCTGCATTTTTAATACATGATCCGCACGCGGAGCATGTATTCAAAACGGCACTGTAGGGCGCCACTTCCAAATCTCGGGCCGGGGGGAGAATAGCGCCTCGGGCCTAAGAGAATGGCGCTCCCAGAGCAGCTCTGCGGGCCCTCTCTTCTGGTGGCGGGCGAGGGGGGGCGGTGAGACGGAGAAGGCCTGCTCAGAAGGCGGCGGGGCTTTTCATTTGGACGCCCGAAGTGGGTACGGAAAGAATTGGTACGATGCCCAACAGCAGTTCCTGTTCATTTTGAACAAAGCTCGCTGTCCGCGCCGCCGCGGCCTGCGTCCATTTGAGACAGGAGGCCGCCTGCCCAACAGCGGCCGCTGTTGGTTCGGGACAACATTTGCTGTTGGGAATTGTACCCATTGTTTCCGTGCCCATTTCGGGCGTCCAAATCTCAGAAACCTTCGCGCCTTTTGCTGCGGAGTTTTCCGCGTCTTCGGGGAAAACTGTGGAAAATCCTCAAAACGGCTGGGGGACTTCCGAATCTTCTGAGTAAGTCGCGCCCCGTCGCACTTCCCCCCGGGCTCGCCACCGAGGTTCGGCAGGCCGCACGGCGTCGTCGTCGTCGTCGTCGTCGTCGTCGTTGCCGCGCCCGAGGCTTCGGCGGGAGCTTCCCTTCCCATCTTGCTGGCTGTTCTTGCGGGTCGACGCTAACCGACGCTAGTCGGCGCTTTCTCATCGATGGCCAGACGCCGGAGCACGCTAGTGCACTTCAAGGACGGAGCTATGAAGACACACCAGGCTCCCCCCACGACTTGGCATCTGTAATTCCCAGTGCCAATGTCTGCTTCTAAAATTGCCTGGCGGTCAGAGCGCTCCACGAAGTGTATATTGCGACCCCACGCTGGTTTAAGAAACAAAAGCGCCATACGTAAACACACACTTTTTGAGGCCCGCGTGGGTTTCTTGGATCCGCGCTGGACCCCCTCTTTGGCGCGCGGAGCGCGTCATGGGTGGTGCCGGAGGCGCCGCCAGGGTGGCTCCAGCGGGGTCGGACGCGGATCCACGAAATCGCGTTGATGTTTATGCAATTTGCTCTTCTTCGACGGTCAGACGTAAGACTCGGGTATGGGGGACTCGGGTTGGCCTGGCGGGGCCATCGTGAGAATGACGAGACCCCATCTGGCGCGAGCTCCCACTGCAAGCATCCGAGGAAAACCGGACCGTCAAGATCCGGGACACGCTCGCCAAGAAACGTGAGCAAACCCTGCTTTTTGCCCGCGGGCGCTCTGCGCGCCCGCCGCTCGCAGCTTTCCTTCATCGGCCTTCCCTCGTGCGGCAGGAGCTCGACCACATAAGACCTTGTACAAGACGTCGACTTCTGGTGTGGGACCGTCACGCTCTCCACAGCAAGCCATCGAAACCCAAGAAACCCAGGGCACCCTGGAGGCAAACAGGGTGTTTCTTGGCATGGGCTTCCACTGTCTGACTTTTGCTCACGGACCCTTTCCGCGACCGCCGCGCGCAGCCATCATCGGCTCTCCCTTGTACTCGGAGAGGCCGCCAGCAACATGTGTCAGCGGCGCGCCTTGGGGGGGAAATGAGACGGGGCGGGCCTTCTCAACAAACTCGGAAAACCTCGGGCTGTCCGTCAAATTTTCGGAGCCTTCCCCAAGACACGGACATATTCTCATAAAACCTGCGGGCTTCTGAGAAGCCCCGCCGCCTTTTGAGAAGGTCTTCTGCTTCTCACTTCCCCCATGGGCTCGCCGCCGATCATTGGCCTTCCCTCGCAATCGGGAAAGCCAAAAACGTGAAACATCACGCATTCTGGGCCAAGCAGATGCGCTGCAAAGCTCACCTGCCCGCGCTGGCGAGGGCGGAGGAATTGGAATCCGCCGTCTCCCCTCCTCCCCTTTACCCATTCCTTGGGTTCCGAAATGCCACTGGACGGGGGGAGGGTGGGTGGGTGGGGGGACGAGCTCCCCAACGAGTCCTCTGCACCCTTAGACACCTCGAATTAGCCCTGCGACGGCAAAATAACGTCCCAAGCGGGCTCTAACACGGTCCAAGGGAAGCCCGAGATAACCCGACGCGTCCAAAATAGCCCGATATGACCCAACGATTGCCCTTGCCCACAAAACTCCTCATACGCCCCACGAGGGCTCCAGGATGACCCGCGAGCCCAAGAAGGCCCCAGGAGGAAAACTCAGACGTACCCCTTTGGGCTTTTAGAGGGTTTTCCTGGCCTCGCCTTCGGCCTTCTGAAAAGCCCACAAACGGCCGAGAGGTCCCACTGACCATCCCCAGACGGCCTGGAGGCGGCCCGAAGGTCCTCAGGATGGCCCAAGAGGCCTCGAAAACAGCTCCAAGAGAGGCCCTCCCCACAAAACGGCCCCAATACCCCAACCTGCCCTGAAGATGCTCCCACGAGGCTCCCAGGAGGGCCCCAAGAAGCACCCAGGACCCCCCAAGCGGCTCCCAAGAAGCCCTGCCGAAGCCTCCGAGAGGCCTCAAAGAACTTCCGTAACAGACCCCAAGTGACTTCCGAAAACCTCATCGTCGTCGTCGTCGTCGTCGTCGTCGTCGTCGTCTTCCTTCTCCTCCCCCTCTCGTGTCATCTCTATGCTGTCTTGTCGTATTCGTCGTCGACGTCGTCGTCCCCGATCCTCCTCCTTCATGTCGGCTCCTGCGAAAACTGGTGCCGACCATACTTCAAGCGAGCGCTATGAATGACCCACGCTGCCAACACACACCGCCCATGGAGCGGCCACACGCGCACTGGTACCTTACCCTCGATCGCTCGTCGATTCAGCATGCGCGAACTATTTTACCCATGGGGCGCCGCCGTCTATTCCACCCTCACCAGCTTCGTGATTTGGTATCGTCGTCATTGCTTAACCGCCTCTTGCTCCTTCTCCTCACCCTCCCCGCCCTCTTGCTCACCCATCGCACTGCGAAGCGCGGGTCGTATCGCTCTACCCTGCACGCAACCACCAACGAACCCCCAAGAACGCCAACACTCTCGGACCAAGAAGGAACGCAACCGATGCAACTCCTACCTAGACCCGGCAACCCCGTGGACTTCGTCGAAGCCTCTTGCGTAGGCCTGTAGGAGGAAGACGAGGGGGACTATGACTACGAGGAGCAGGACAAATGGCACTGATACTCGGGTCATCGTCGTGGTCGTCCTCGTCGATGGTCGCGGTCGATCGTCGTCGCCGCCGCCGACTGCGGTGGAGGCTGAGCGGGGGGAGGAGTGAGAGGAGGAATGGGAGGAGGTGGTGGTGGAGCCGTTGGGGGCCATGTCCGATTCGCGTGCATCGCATCGGGCCCCTAAGAAAGAAGTGGAAGCAATCAAGGATGGGACGTGTGCCTGTCCCTCCCCTGCCGCCTACGGCGAACGCCGCAGCTTCTCGCTGCAAGCGCTGCCGCTTCGGCAGAGGCTCCCGTCGCAATCTAAAGCGTCAATCTCGTGTGTGTGTGTGTGTGGTTACCCCTTCATGGGGCAAGCCACGCACCCCACACTGCCGAATCTCTGGCCTCGAGAGGCCTGGGAAACGAGAAAAAAATAAAAAAATCGGTTCGAGAAGAGTTGACTGGCCGTCTCTACCCTGCCCTCCCCCAGCACGCGTCCATGGGCTGTCCTGCCACACGAACTTCGAGCATTGCTGGCTGTTCAGCAGCCCGTGCGGGTCGGTGGGGGGGCCCAGCCCATTCGGAGGGGGACGAGGGAGGCGAGCGGCAGCAGCAGGCTCTCTCGGAGGGAGGGGAGGCTACACGTGCTGGCTCTAGCTACTGCCCCTCCCCCCGTTATGATATGGTATGGTATGATATGATAACGCTGCTGATGATGATTATGATTATGATTCTGATTCTGCTGCTGATGATGATGATGAGACAGCGTGGGGGATGGGGTGATGATGAGCAGCAGCACGCGTGAACTGCAAGCTGCAAAGTGCGCGCTGCGTATCGCCCCGCATGTATGTACGGTGTGAGATCGTGCCCGTGCTCTGCGAGGGCATGTTGACGATGAGACAACGCGCAAGGCTGACGACGGACGACGGCGACGGCGGCGGCGACGATGACGACGGCGAGCGCCAGGGCAGCTGCGGTCCTCCGCCGCGTCCAGGACGGCCTGCGGGCGGGGGTCGCACGCGCATTCGCGCGCGCACGCGCGCCGAGGAGGCCAGCGCCTCGGCCGCCCGCCACCGCCGCCCGCCGCCGTCGACGACTCGGCGAATGTGGCGGCGACTATCAGGGCCTCGATTTTCGATCTCGGCGACGCAGAGATCGAAGATCGAGAGGCTTCATTTGTTTTGCCCTGTGGGTGGACTTCGGGGAAACTCCGCAAGCCCCTGGGGGCCTCGGGAGGGCCTTCGCGGTTGCGGCTCTTTTTAAGCCTTCTGCCTCCCGCTGCGACCTCGCCGCCACGGCTGGATCCGCCTCGGGATTGCCGTCAGGACACACCAGGGCAGCTCCAGGCGTACTGCGCACATGCGACGGGCGCCACTTCCAAATTTCTAGCTGCGGGGAAGTGCTCCGAGCCCAGGAATGGCGCTCCATAGCTCTGCGGGCCCTGTTGTGCTGGACAGGGTCGGAGCCGCGTGCGCTTGATCACGTACTTTTCGACGCCCATCGGTCTTCGAAGACCTTGGGCGGCCTCGGCGGTCCGACGGCGGCTCTATGCGCGAGAGCTGTGTGACTGTGCCTCAAGAGGTGTCTGGTCGAAGGCCTGAGGCATGATCTCGAGGAACAACACAACGGCATAAACATGCAGCAGGAGCTCGACCACAAGGCACATTCCACAAGAAACCCAACCCTGAGACCCCAAGACGTTAATTGATTTTTTGATTTTTGGTGTGGGAACTTCACGCTTTCCATCGCAAAACCATTGAAACCCAAGAAACCGCAGGGCACCCCAGAGGCAAGCAGGGTGGTTTTGGGCATGGGCTTCCACTGTCAACGTTTGGAGGTATGCACGGGGCCCAAGAAATCCACGCGGTTCTCCGAACATGCATGTTGATGCAATTCTCTCCGCCTCGAAAGGCTTTGTCTGGGTCAGCGTCACAGGCGGTCCTCTGCGTATGCCCACGGCCCTCCGGGTCCAGGCTACGAGGCCGCGGGGCGCGATCGTCCTCGCCGAGGGTGGCCTGGCACCTCGCGCGTCCCACACCCCTCTTCCCTTGGGTAAACCGCTGGGCGCACACACCCGTGGCGACGGTGGCCGCCTGCAAGCAGGCGGGGCCAGCCAGCCTCGAGCAACGTCAGGAAGCATGATCGACTGGTGTTAGGTCGGGCATGTCCCCCCACAGGGGGATTCTGGGCGAACAGTCTTAAACAGAAACCCAGCACTACTCAAACATAGTCAACACATATCAAAAAAATCGTACCCAGACTATGTTTGACCATTTTTGAATATTCCTCCGGTTGGGGGACACGCCCGACTTAAGACTGGTGCCGTTCGTCTCGCTCCTCGCCCTGCCCCCCCGGATCCAAAGGGCAGCGGTCCTGCAGACCTGGCGTCTCGCCCCGTTCCGACCCTCCTGGGGCCTCCACGGACCGGTCGGGCCCGAGGCGTGAGGAAACGCAGGATCGGGGTCGGGAGCTCCGGGCGCCGTTCTCCCCGCGGCCCCGCAACTGTTGTCTGCTGGGGCGCGATCGAAGACGAGGAGTGCGGGTCTCGAGGGCTTGCCTTGCACATGTTGAGTGACACGCGGGCAATGGAGAGCGATCGCTCTCAAGAACGATCGAGCTCTCAATTCTGAGGAATAATCATTCTTGATTCCCCACGGGTGCCCGTTTTGTACCCGACGCGCCCGTTCGGATCTGCCTGCCAATCTTCCTGCTCCTCCTTCCTCCCCCACACGGGGCTGGCACCCAGCTTCTATGTCAAGGATCATCTTCCTGCTCAAACTTTTCGTTGTTGGCCCCCCGATGGGGGGAGTGGGAGCAGCATAGAGAGAGAGAGAGAGAAAGCAGGGGGGAGGCCTGCAGCTTGTCGCGCTGAAAAGTGTCGCACATGAGCAGGCCCCCGCCTGGATTGTTGGCTGGGACGGATGACTCGTGTAGCGATCAGATGCTGAGGCAACGACAGAGAAATAACCAACTGCAGAAACATAATTTCTCGGAACTCCGTCGGATAATGATTATTCCGTTTTCTCTCTTCGAAGCGAGGCACCGGTATGTGGCCCTTCGCAAGACAACTACAACCAACATCTCGCCACAATGAACCTGAGGTGCGGAAGGGTGTCCCTCGTCTAGCCCAAGTGGGGCGTATTTGCGAGGAGCGCCCAGGGAGACATGGAAAGAAGGATTCGACGAGCTCCGCAGCCTCTTCCGAAAACCCAAAGAGTCCTGCCTCTGCGGCTTCGAGTGTAAGGACGGCTCTGGTAGTGATGGCGCCGTTGTTGGTTTCTGACCCCGCGCGGGTCGTTCAATCTTGAACGGTCGCGGCTTGAGATAATGGAGGCCTCCTGGATGGCGTCCGAGTAGATGGGGTCGGAAGATCGCGCCGCATCGCCGATGCATCGCCGATGCCGGCGACGTCGACGTGAAGAAAATTGGGCCCTACATCGAGCCGCATCGCTGATGTATCGCCGATGCATCGGCGATGCAGCGCGATCCTCCGACCCCATCTACTCGGACCCCATCTGGGAGGCCTAGAGTTGTGGATGCCATGACAATGGACGATCTAACAATCCGATCATTGAATTCAATATGTGTTTAAAATGTGTAAAACATGCTCTACATGTTTCAAACATGTTTTCACTATTCAAAACATGTTTAAAACAAGTTTTAGACATCCGGAAACTATTTGGCAGCATGCTTCCTCTCCATTAATCGACTTCCACAAGTCTAGAGATAACCCGGATCGTTCGATGACGATTCCGGGCCGCTGGCGGCATTCAACCTTGAACGCCCGCGCTGGGGCCGGGCGGATAAGCCTTGTGCGGTCGCCGGGGGAAGCGGGGCGGACAGTACCGCTAATTCGGTTGACCCACAAGTGGGTCAAGCGGAAAGGGGGTGGTGCGACAGGTTTGGGGCAACTGTGCTGCAAGTGTATTGCGCCAGAGAATTGATTTGCAATGTATTGCCGCTCGTGTATTGCACGCGAAAGCCCAGCAAGGCATCTGCGCACCGGAATGTATTTCACGCCCCAACTCTATTGCACCCCCACGAATCTATTGCACCAGATCTATTGCACCACCCTCTCTTCGCTGGACTTCCATTAGGGTCAACCAGAGATAACCTCCTGCCATGACCCGCAGCCGCACGCTCTCAACCCTGTCTGCGGCTCGGGGAATCGGCACGTACTGATGCAGCCCAAGCCTGGCCAGAGCAAAGGTGATCGTACCGCGTCGCCGATGTATCGGTGACGTCGGGATGGAGCAGATCAGGCTCCGGGGTGCAGCGCATTCCCGATGCGTCGGCGATGCGGCGCAATCCTTGGACCCTATCTGTTGTTCCTGCCCCATCTGGGCGGCCTGGAGAGTGGCCCCTGGGCTCGCGGGGAAGCCGGGTCGTCCCGTAGCCTCTTTCCTTTTGCGACGCCTGACGATCTGGGTTGCTGAACAGTTCTGACCCTCCATGGCGCGGGAACGCACGAGGCAGCAAGGCGATTACGCAAGGTTCGTGTCATGACGACTTCGGCGTCGGTATCTAGGAGAGCAGAACATCCACCCTCCTAACACGCACCTCGGCAAGCAGGGCCGTTTAGTAAACGCCCCCAACGATTGAATCCAACATATGGCTGTTTTTTAAACGAACAGGGCCGTTGAGTATACGCTAATCATGGTAGTCGAGGTGGTTTTCCCTCCTCTGATTTATGACACCGCATGGGTCGCCTAGCCTTGAACGATCGGCGGCCTTTCGCTTGCCAGAGCGTTCCACACTGTGCCCGTGTATTGGCCGATTCTGGGCCGCTGGCGGCGTTCAACCCAAAATGCCCGCGCTGGGGTCGCCGCCGCGTCGACACGACGCGAACCTGCCGCAGAGCTGCACCTCAAGAGGACAACAAACTACATAAACATAAACTTTCGGAGGTCCGTGCGGATTTCTTGGATCTGCGCTGGAGCCCCCATGGCGGCGCCATCCCGCGCGCCAGGGATGGGGGGGCCAACGCCGATCCAAGAAATCCTCGCGGACCTCCGAAGTCTGTGTTTATGCAATTTGTTCCTCGAACCTCGTAGCTCTGCCTCCCACCAGGAACAGTCAACATCGAATCGAAACAGCGGATCGTATCGGATTGTTCGTCGAATCGGACCGCATCGGCACGGAGTCGAGATCGAACAGGATCGGCTGCACAAGGATGCACAACGACGCCACGCAGCCGTTGGGTCGCATCAGATCGGTGGGAAATCGACTCGGAGACTTACTGACCCGGGTCAATCCAGACCCGGGTCAGTCAGGCCTTGCAGGATCCTGCAAGCTCCTGCAGAATCCTGCACCCAAACCCAGGTCAGTGCAGCCCTGGCCCTTCAAGATCCTACAAAATCCGGCGCTCTCACTGACCCCCGCTTGCATTGACCCCTGTCTCTTGAGCTAGAAGAAACAAAAACCATGTAAACATAAATTTTTGGCGCTCCACGCGGATTTCTTGGATCCGCGCTGGACCCCCCTCCCTGGCGCGCGGAGCGCGCCAGGGGCGGCGCCGGAGGCGCCGCTGGGGGGCTCAGGCGCGGAGCCAAGACACCCGCGGGGAGCGCCAAACATTTCTGTTCTCTTCTTCGATGAGCCCCGATCGGCATCGAATCGGCTCGTGCCGGCCAACGCCGACGTCGGATCGGACCGGATCGGACCGAGGCGGACGCGGCCCCCGAAGCAGCGGGCCGCGGGCCCCCCCTGCGGCCCCAGAGAGAGCGGGGAGAGGACGGGCGGGGCTGCTGCCCCCGCGCGGCGTGCGCGCCCGTCGGCCGCCCGCCCCCCCCCCTGGCTTCTCGCATGGGCCTCTGCGGCGACTCGCGGGGGCACACCGCCGATACTCAGCAGTGCGCACAAGGGGGCGGAGGGAAGAGGGGGGAAGGCTTCTTAGATGGAGGCTGCTCCTTAGAGGGCGCCGGCCTCACATCTATAGATAAAGGCCCGCGCCTTCTAAGAAGCAGGGGTGCTCCTAAGAAGCCCTCCCCCCTCCCCCACCCCCCCTCTGCGCGTGGCCGAGACTCACGGGGGCACACCGCCGATACAGGTCGGTCGGAGGAAGTAGGTAAAACATGGAGCAGGGGGGCGGACCAAGTAGATCAGGATCAGGCCCTCCCAGAGAACAACAAGACATGGGAGAGGCACATCGATTCCTGAAGCAGGCAGGCGCTTGAGGTAGATTGGGATGTGGGAATCGAAAAAGGCGTACTTTCAACGACCGGCGTGTAAGGTGTTGGTATCAACCTCGAGGCCTCCGAAACCGCACCGATGCTGACCAGGCTCAGTTTGGGCCCAGGATCAAGTCGGCGGCGGTTCAAAGATGGGGCCCCGAAGGACGGGGGGCCCTGAGGACAGGAAAGCGCCCACAAGGTGAACCTTCACTGGTCTGCGGCAACTCTTGGGAGCCTCCCGTACTATCGTGTTGGCCCTTGCGAATCGACGCTCATCGACGCTAGTCGACGCTGATCGGTTCTGAACTGGCGATTTCCCGTCGACTACTGGACGCTAGCGCACGCCAGAGCATTCTGCAAACGGAAGTGCGAGGACATGCGAGGCCCCCGCGATCTGCTGCCGCACCCGTCCGTCGGGGTCCCCTCTCCCTTTTCGCATCAACTGCCTCGAGCCCAGGAGGGCGGAACGGCTCCCGCCGCCGCACGCCGGCGCCGTCAAGGCCGCGGGACGGCCGCCCCACTCCGGCCCTGGCCGGTGTGTCGAGGCGATGGCAAAAGCTGGCATCGGAATCTGGCGCCGTAGACTCTACAACTCCTCGCTGCCGATGCCCCTGCGCCAAGCCGCAGGCTCACGCAGTGTACAAATCACACGACGCGTCGGTCAGAATGCCTACAAGCGAATTCCGCGCAACAGAACAGCCGACACCCGCTTGCCGGGGTGAAAAGGCGAGTGAGACATTTGTCTGTCCCCCTCCCTCCCAGACCCCCGACGTCATGATTTCTTGTCGTTACGTCGACCTCCAGAGGTCTGGACCCATTCCCAGGGACCAGTCTTTCATCCTGAGTCGTTTTCTGGAGGTCCCGAGCCGTGGTAGGGGTCTCAGAGGCTGGCGACAAAAACCTCCCGTCGTAATTCTTTCAGGACTCGAAGGGGGTCTGAGGTCTCTGCCCTGCTCCCAGCATCCAGAATCACATTTGAGGGTGGGGCGAGCGAGCTCCCTGGCACACCATCCGGGTCTTCCGATGCATCCTCCCGTCGAGCTCGACTCGGGGAGGCTTCCGAGAGCCCCATTCAGCCACCAAGACTTCCCCAAACGGCCTCAGAGGGCTTCAAGACGGCTGCGGGACCTGCCCAGACGTCCCCCAAACTGTTCAACCGAACTTCTTCGGGAAAACTCAATAGAACCAGTGCGCCAAAAAACGGCCCGACACCCCCCACGGGCCTCCACGCGCCCCAGGAAGGCCTCGGTGAACCTCCACCAGAGGGCCCCGAAGAGGCCCTCCAGAGGCCTTGGGTCCACGACCCGAGCAGGTTGGCGGGATGGGCCGAAGGCCACTGCCACCGCCCCCTGTTGCCTGCAAGAGGAGCTGCTTGGCATGCCAAACGTTCACCGTTTGAACCGCCCGGGCCGATCCGGCCGGCCATGCCGAGAAACCCGGGCGGGCATCACCCCGCCAGCTCTCCCGCCGACGATGCTCCCAAGCGGGCCGCCAAGATGGCCAAGATGATCTCCAAGACAGCCTTGATAGCCCCCTTTCTCAGCCAAGAGGGCCCCAAGAGGGCCCCAAGAGAGCCCCAAGACGGCCCCGATAGAGTCCAGCATGACTCAAAGAGGCCCTCCAGGCGGGTCCGAAGAGGCACAAATCATTGATTTCTCATAGGTTGACAGATTTGGGCGCTCACGCATTCTAGGGTTTCTGACAGCCCATGTCGGCCCCAGAGGCCT